TCTAAGAATAATTCCATTGGAAATGAGGTTGGCCAACCGTCTGATGAAACCATGCTGTTCAGCTGAGTTTGGGAGACGATCGTGAATTCATTATTCATATTTGTATCATCAAAGACAGAGAGATATTAGCTTTAAAGAACCTTGGGGAGTTCCTCGTGGAAATTTATCGACTCAGCAAGACAACAACCCCACCATCCCAAACAAAATTCTCAAATGTGCCCCCAGGCTGTCAGATGAATGCTATAAAGAGTTCATCCTGCAGACTTTCTTCCATCTCCGCATCTACTTTGAGGATTCAGGTAAGTACCTTCACAATCTGGGGCATTTCCTTGGTGCGTTTCTATGTTTAGGTGCATGGAGATGTTTGGTGATGTGTCTTAGGATGAGAAGATGTCTCTTCTCGTTTTCTAGTAATTCTTTTGTCCTTCAATAGAGAATAAATTGTGATTCCAAGAGCTTCTTGAATTTGATCTTGGTTTTAAAGGTAGGGAAATCAGCATAAGAAGTTTAATGATCTGGGGTTTCTTCTCCACAAGAAAGAGTAAAACCTTAGAATGAGGGACTCAAGGTTTAGATGAATGTAGAACATCACGGTCCATTCCATTATCCCCTAAAATGCAATTCCTTTGGCCCCTAGAATGAGTCAATCCAAAATTCCAAGATCCATCCTACATCTCTAGAACAAAAGTATCCACAGCCACTTCATGTTTCCACCACCTTCCAAAACATGAAGTCATTGCTGTGTCACCAATTCAGTCTCTGCTCATGGTGTTGAGAAGCCTAGATTTTTCATCTAAGTCCTTCTAGGCTCTGTCCAAGACTGCTAACACAGCTGTATTGATATACGATTAGGATTAAACTTGGTTAGGTTTTGGTGGTGGATGTGGGTGACTTAGGCTCTTCACCTATAAAGCCCAATCAGGCTCAGGGCTTGGGTAATTACAAGATGTCCTATCTCAGACGGGTTCTATCTACCATGACTGAATAACCCTAATGCCGGTTGAAGGTTGTTACCTATTGAGAAAGGTGATGAGAGGAGAAGCGTCTTGTGGAGATGTTTCTTTGGAGGTAAGGGTGTTTCCCACTCCCGAGCTTGTGTAAACTTGGTTTTCAGGATGATTCATAATCTACACAAGGCTTGGATGTTATTGTCCCTATTGTCTGTCTTAGCGTCGCTTGCTGCGATTCTTTCTAAAGTCCTCTGAGGTGGAAGCAATCAAAAATTCCAAGAAAGGCATTAAATGAAACCCAGCCCATTCGGAAGGTCACCCTATCGTGCATTTCCCAAACTCTGAAAGCAAAGTAAATTATCACTTAATTGCACATATTTGCAATGTGTGGCGTGGATCTTAAAGAATCTGAGTCTCTTTGTTTGCAGATCTGTCACTGAACTTCAAAATGTCTGCTGGCTCCAACATGGACCATTGCACCTTCTCGTGTCCTCCTTCAATGGTGACAGTCCAGCCACCTTCTTTCATCCTCACCATCCCAGGTCCTACCCTCTGCTGCCCTGACCAGCCGCTGTGCATTGAGCAACACAATCCATGTGCCATCAACAACCAACGCCATGCCCAGCATACAAATCGGGTTTCCAGCTTCTACTCCAGAGCTCTGCCAAGCACTCCCTACAGTCCCAGCATTTATCGGTTCTAGACGGGAGGAAAAATTGCAACTATCTTGGTTTGTTTCGTGATCTTTCAGGAAGCCGAAGACCTACTGTAGCCTGATCTGATTCTGTTTATTGGAAGCTTTTGTTGCAGTAAGATGCTCACTTCATGTTTATCCCCTGCTTTGGGGAGCTTTCTTGTTTCTTGGAATTGCTCAAAATAAACAGGGCTGATTGAACAGAGACGTTCTTACTGTGTAAACTCTGAGGAACCTTGTATAAGTTCCAATGTCTTGAAGTCTAGCTCCTTCTTTTTGGTTATTTAAATACTTGAGGTTATAACATCAATGTTCCCTCACTCCCAAGGCGTTAAAACTGCCAATGCAAATGAGTATGTAAATTGTGTAATACTAGTAAGCACGCACACTTCACTAGACAAATCTGTCTTATAGAACAAATCTTTTCCAGCTAACGTGGTGATGGAATTCCACCACCCAACTTCTCACATGGGATGTTCCAGTTAGGCATGTTGTTTATGTACAGGAAGTCTGGGATATTAGGGCCCCAATTTTCTACAATCTGGATTTGAGGTTGAGCTCACTCATGGGTTAGGCCAAAAAGTAACTTGGTTTTAACTTGGCTATGCCTTGAGAGATTTCTGGAAGATGTTGCATCACGTAGCTCTTCAGCTTGACTGGACCCTCATGGAGAAATAATAGGAAGTTTTTCACTTGTGCATGCTTAAATTTACTGTTCCACACTTACATAAAAGATGTGGTCCACCCACTGCACAAAACCATACTTATTTTTTAAGCTTAGTTTCTGGCATACACTATAATGTTATCGAATATCAAATTACAAAGATGGGTTTATGAAGACCAGCTAAACCATCCAATGGTCAACTGAAGAATGAAACAAGCAAACACACTACTCTGAATTGTTGAGTTTGCAGAAGTCCTGGACATGTGATCCATAATCTCTTTGGATGATCATAAATGGATTTACCAGGGGGAACATCTGCCAGCATTTAACCCTACTTTATAAAACATAGTTCTTTTGAAATGAAACACAGTTGAAAAGTGCCTTGAACCGTTATTTGACATAGATTGTGAGGACATACTCTCACATCCTAGGCAAACACGGACAGAAATTTTGGAAATACTTATAATTTCAAGAAAAGGGCAGCAGAGAAATTTCCTGCTACACACCTTTGCTGGCTTAAGTGTGTTTCAATATCAGTAGCTGATTAGGAATTCTGGGAGTTGAAGTCCACACACCTTAAAATTGTCAAGGTTGAGAAACGTTGCTCTAGCCAGTTATGGGCCCAGTAGATTATTTTAAAATTCCTCTCCAAAACTGTTTACTAATTAATTTCATTCCAGAGAATGGAAGAGAGTTGTAAATTGTGGCTTGGCTCGTGTCTAGTTTTTATCTAAATGGCTTCGTTTAATTGTTTGCTTCCCTCCTACGTTACATCAGTGCTGTTCTGAAATGCTTAAATATACAGTAGGACCACAGTTTTAAATAAACAAATAGCACGTATCTCACATCATTGTGGTAGACCGCACAATCCTGGAAGGCACAACAAATTTACTTAAAACAGGGAGGGTGAGATGTATTCTTCTCCTGTCCAAAAGGCAGTGTGGTTTAGCGGTTAGAGACTATTTTGCACGCAAAGATAAGGAAAACAAAAACATGTTGGCACTTTCCCTAAAAATTTCTTCTTTTTCGATATCTCATCTTCCAATCAACTTCTCAGAAATGCAGTTGTGATAAGAATTGCAGCTTGAAAAACTGGTGCCCAATTTGCTTTTTTTTTTTCTTCTTTACCATCCGCATCGCTTTTTCCTCCGCCTGTCATGCCTCTGAGATTATAAACTTGGAAAGTGGGACTACATTTGCCCTTAAACCGAATTCGCTCCAGTTCCATGGAGAATTTTATCACTGGCAGACCTTCCCTCTCACGCTTCTTTAAAAGGCAAAGAGTTTAGAAAGACACCCGGATTACAATTATCCAAGAACGAAATTGAGGATTTATCTAAATAAATCAAATGCAACTCCTAGGCTAGGTCTTTATTCCAGCATACATTCTCCACGACCAGAATCCTAAACAACTCTGAACACAAACGGAAAATCTGGGACTAAACTAGATTACAGCCTCTTGGGGTTTGCTGGGGTTTAAGAAATATGAACCAAAGGGAGGGGGGGGGAGGAAAAGATTATTTCGCTTCAAAAAGATTGTTGTTATTTTTCTAAACAGCTGAAGGTTTCAGATCTTTTCTTCTCTCTTCAGGTCTTTGAGATCTGCTTGGCAGGTCACCAGGAAACTAAGTCCCTTGTGATTTATGAACACTGGCTAAAAAAAAAATCTTTCAAAATTCTCCACGCTGAATAAATAAATTAATAAATAAAATTTCTACGCATCCTGATACATTTGTAAGAGTGCACCCTCTTGTGGCGACAGCTGGTATTTGCAAAATTGAGACAATTTGGACTAGTGGAATGTGTAAAGAGGTTTGTATCAAGAGTCCAATTCTTCTCATCTTGTAACTACAGATCCAGTTTTCTTTCCAGCAAAATCTAGTATTTCCTCCCCATAATTTTCTTTCAGCCAATATCTTGAGTGCCATTTCTTCATTTAGAAGTAAGAGATCAAGCTTTGGCTGGAAAATTCCCCACGATGATCCCTAGTGGGAAGCAAAACATTTTTCATCTCTCTCTTCTAGTGGTCAACTGGAGGTTTGCAGTTCTGTTTGAGCATTATTTGATGTGCTTCTCATTTGCGAAAATCATGTCTTCTCCTCCACCCCATCACCCCACCCTCCAATTTCAAACAACTTTGTGGTTTATAACAGTTTGGGAGCGCTTGGTAGAATGTAGGAGGAAAACAAAGAGGAGAAAAATGTATGATGCAAAAGGAAATTTAATCAGAAGAACAAAAGAAATAACGAAGCATTGGTTCAATTCTAGCTGCAGGTTAGGTTCAGGGTAGCTAAGCAGAGACATGAGTTTTAACTTGCTGTAGCAGATACTTGTTGCTTATAAATATATATATTGAGTGTTTCTGGATTTTAGACAAACACAGTTTTGAAGCCTGTAGGAATAAAATATCTCCATTTCCCCAGCAGGCTAGGTCCATGATCTCTACCACTTCCTCCAGTCCAGAAAGTACCAGCAGAACTCAGAAAGGAAATTAACTCTCTTTTGGGGTGCCATCAGATGAGAGAACAGGAAGACAGAGAAGTCAACTGAAACCTGTCTAAGATTTCAGACCTGAGTTGGTGTTGTCAGAAGACAATGGTTCTGTCTTAAGTCCATCAATCTAAACATAGCATTCAGTTTCATGTTTTTCTTCTCCAGTTGTTCAGGGACTTCTGAGTTATTTCTTCCATGTTCAGTAATGGGAGTAGATGTTTGAAGGGCCTCCATAGGAACCTCCATAAGATCTGCTGCTGAAGCCACCACTTCTGTATCCATTCCCTCCGCCAACAGAGTATCCGATCCGTCCATATCCACCAGAACCATATCCTGTGTGGCCATAGCCACCTCCATATCCAGAGCCATATCCTGTGTCACCATAATCACCTCCATATCCACAGGTACCATATCTGCCACTGCTGAAACCACCACCATGTCCGCTACCACCACCGTATGCTCCACTGCCAAAGCCACTGTATCCACTACTGCCGTAACCACCACCATATCCACCACTGTGGTACCCAATGCTACCACGTCGGTGGCTTCCACTTATTCGGCGGCCACTAGTCCAGCCACCTCCCATACTGCCCCTTGTTCCGCTAAGGCCATAATCGCCACCAGTGACACTCACTGTTCCAATACTGCCTCTGCGACCACTCGTGCTGATCCCTACTCCACCTCCACCACCCATAGTGACTCCCATTCCAATACTATCTCTCCCTCCCCCCACACTAACCCCTGCTCCGCTACCTCCACTCCAACCTCCTGTGGTGACCCTTCTTCCACCAGGGCTCAAACTACCATGTCTGATGCTCTCAACTCCCCTAGTGCCTAAATCACCATCAGCAATGCTGCTAGTCCCAACACTGCCTCTGCGAACACCCATAGTGCCCCGTACTCCGCTACCTCCACTCCAACCTATTGTAGAACCCCCAGCTCCAATACTGCCTCTCCGACCACCCATAGCTCCAACTTCACCACTGCCCAAATCACCACCAGTGATGCTGCCTATCCCAACACTGCCTCTCCGACCACCTACAGTGCCCCCTACTCTGCTACCTCCACTCAAACCTGCTGTGGTACCCCTTGGTCCAACAATGCCCAGACCACCACCTCTGGGCCCTCCAAGTCCTCCAATGCCCAGGTGACCACCTGTGGGTCCTCCAGGTCCTCCAATGCCCAGATGACCACTTGTGGGTCCTCCAAGTCCTCCAATGCCCAGGTGACCACCTGTTGGTCCTCCAAGTCCTCCAATGCCCAGGTGACCACCTGTGGGTCCTCCAAGTCCTCCAATGCCCAAACCACCACGTCCTACTCCACCAACACCCAAGCCACCACCCATCCTACTCCCTACTCCGCTTCCACCACTCCAGCTACCACCCCAGCCTCCTCTTCCAGGACCCAAAGCACCCATACTTCCTCCAACAGTACCCTCAATACCAATGCCACCGCCACCTCTCACCACCACGCCACCAAAGCCTGCACATGGATTGTGTTGTTCAATGCCAAAGGCTTGGTCAGGGCAGTATAATGCTGGTCCTGGAATATTTAGGACAAAAGGAGGCGGCTGAATTGTGACCGTCGAGGCAGGACAGCTGGCGTAGCACTCGGACATCATAGTGGGAGGACTGTTGCTCTGAAAGAGAAGAGCGAGAGGCAGAGGTTTCTCTCAGATGAGGACCAATGGAGAAGAGTTTCCATGCTGATGCAGTTGGTAGAAAGAATACTAATAAAGACAGGGAAAGTCAGAAGTAGTGTGGAATACGCATTACCCAATTTCAGAATTAATTCATTTAATTCAGGAATAGAATTCAGGAATAGAACCAATACAGGACATAGAGTTCGTAAAGGAAGAGGTGAATTGTCCTCCTTTGTTTACCCACCATCTAGTCCAGATATTGGAGTCCATCTCCCCTCAATTCGGCCAAGGATGAAGGGAGTTCTTTCCAACAAGATCTGGAGGATCATAGTTGGACCAATACTTTAGGTTCTTCAAAAGCCTTACTGTCTTTATTGTGATGGTGAATGGTCCAGCTTGGGCATCTATCTTACCTTGGTTCCTCACGGTCTTAAAACTCTAGAAACATGAAGGAAGGACAGAAGACTTCTTTTGCTGATGTGGAGAAAAGAGAGATGCAAACAAAAGCATCCATCCAATTGTTTCAATGAAGTATAGTCATTGGTTAAATCTCCTTCTAAACATCTCCTAACTGGGAACATTGCCAGATCCTCAGAACCCAAAGACATGAAGAAAGTGCAAGAGAAGTGAAGTTATGGAACCCATCTCAAAGACATCACCTGCTCTTCATTCAGATCACCCTTGATCTTAGGGTAGAAGATACTTGCTCTGACTTACCTCGTTCTTCTCGATGGAAGGATCGAAAGACTCCAGAGAGGTGCTGAAGGAAGGTGCTGCGTGTCAAACTTCTTATACCTCTTGGTCCACCAACAGCTGAGCATGACTCACCACCAGGCTCAATGCCAACCATTGACACCTGAAAAGAAATTAGGATGAAGAAATCACCTGAGGTGGACTCCCCCAACAATTGATTATCAATGCAACAGTAGTAAACAACTGCTGGGTTGTGTGTTTGCTCATCTTTTCTTCTCTTCCATGTTCAGGATAATAATGACTCCACCCAACAAGGTTACCCAAGAAGAATAATGGATTTTTAGCCTTAATACTTTAAATACTGGAGTATCTCAGTTACGCACAGCTGTGTAAACACCTTGGGTACCATCCCAGACATGTCATGCTTACTCCAGTTGTTCTTAATTATCAGATGCATCTGAATTTGTTGGAGATCTCTTGGTCCCATTTCTTGAAGACGCCCAACCGCGTCTGCAAATTCAACAAAATTGAAGAGCAGATGATTTGGGATCCTGAGCTTCCCATCGGCTTTGCAGTTCGTTAAATTAAACAATTTACTAATGCTCCACACAGTTTTTGACACCACCTTCAAAGCAGGGAGGGCAAACTTACAGAGAAGACGTTATTTGTGGTTGGCAATAACTAGAGATGGTCAATTCTGGAGTTAAAAGTAGATTTAAAGGGCGCCAGGAATGGCCTTGAAGGACAAATATGCAAGATTCTGTTACTATCTCTGTTCAGATAATAGAGGCAGTCCCCCACATACAGCCACAAAGGATCCCAAAATGTATGTTCCTAAGTGAGAAATGTGTTAAGTGGGTTCTGCCCCATTTTACGACTTTTCTTGCCACATTTGTTAAGCGAATCACTGCAGTTGTTAAATTAGTAACACGGTTGTTAAGTGAATCTGGTTTCCCCATAGACTTTGCTCATCAGAAGTTCGCAAAAGGAGATCACGTGACCCCAGGGGGACACTGCAACCGTCATAAATATGAGTCAGTTCCCAAGCATCCGAATGTAAATCACATAACCCTGGGGATGCTGCAATGGTCATAAATGTGAAAAATGGTCCTAGCTCACTTTTTTTTCAGTGGTGTCCTAACTTTGAATGGTTACTCAGTAAATTGTAAGTCAAGGACTACCTGTATAATTTTAGATCTATATAGCATTGGTTTCTTGGTCTGGTCTACCTTATAGGGTGGCCAGTAGTGAAGAATAGGTTAAAGGATGATTAAAGCAGAGAAGGAAGGTTAAGAATACATTTCCCAGCACTCTACTAAGTTGAAATTATTCTAGCTATGCTAATGCTGTTTTCATAACAGAAAGCAAGATCAACCGTTGAACGTGGGATTCTGCCTCACAAACCCAGAGCAACTTCTTCTAGGTAGAAACAAACTGCTGTGTGTGGCTTTACGCAACCAACTGGAGGGCGTTTTTTTTTTTTTAAAAAAAATCTAGGAAAACCATCTTAAATTATCTCCCTCACCTGTCAAATACGAAGGCTATCTCCACACCTTTGCCAAATTGGTGCACCACTCTGAATGAATCAGACACTGATTACAATTGGCTTTGAACAAAAGAGATCCAGGGCGGGGAAAATGACCCAGTTGAATTCCAAATGAGCAAAGCCTGGGATACACCCAACTTTGAGGAGTTCAGCAGATGTGTAAGATTGATACTCCCTATCAGTGAGAACCTTAAGAGATAGGCCAGGTTGAGCAGCCTGCCAGATTTCTGGATAGTTGGGTGGAATCATCAACCTTATCTAAGAAAACAGCTGCACGCTTTGTATCTAGGACCACATCTCCCTGTTATGCCAACTTCAGCCACCCCAAATCCTCCTCAAGGTGAAGAAGACTCCACCTAGTAAGTGAAGAAGACTCCACCTATTCTTCCTCGCTGTCCTAACATGTGGAGGAGACTGGTTATTTCTCTTGCATTTTGAAAGTCTACCTTCAGCAAACCTGCACAAGACACAGAACCAATGTATCCTTCCCAAAATGGAATAGAAAGTCCCTCTAAAATTTTAGAACCAGGGTGGGCACTTTGGGGCTTTGGAGAACATCTTGTAGATCCTGCCACAAAAGAGCTGTCCCAGAGAGAGCGTCTTCATTCTCAAAATGTGGTCTTGGTGTTCATGTCCATCCACCAGTGTCCATTTATGAGAAGACAACCCTTGCCAGTTCCTTTCATTAAACCCTGATTCTGTCTACCTCTCTTCTGAGTTGATGGAAGTGATATCCAATATTTGCCATGCTTAAGAATCTGTATTCCTTTCTTTCTCAGTTTGATGTGCCATCTCTCCTCCAGAGCTACATATTACTCTCCAGTTTTTCTCTGTAGCGACAACCCTGTGAGGTAGGTAGGCTCAAGAGACTGTGACTGATCCAGAATCATTCAGGGAGCTTTCATAGCGACACAAGTTTTCCTAATCTAACTCCTTCATCCCTCCTGCTATACTACACAGATTTTACCCTGATTGATGCTCTCCAGATCAAAGAAGACTGCCCATTTGTATCTAATGTTCAGGGCCACACAACTATACTTTTAGTATATTCCCCTTCCTCTGAAACAGCATTCATCCTAAGAGCTGCTGGTTGGTTTTAGGAGGCTAGCTCTTCTGGGTTTTAGGAAGCCAAACCCAGAGAAATGAATGTCTTCCATTTCTGCTTAGGTATGTCAACAGTAGTTATTTCAAACCAGCTTCAATGTTTCTCAGTCAAGGAAAGAAGGAAGAGCTATGCCAATTTGCGGTTAGAGAATCTCCCAAGAGAAGATATTTAGAGGAGATACACAGGAAGTCCTCATTAAGATGTTTATTGCCTTACAAGTGTCATTTTATAAGTCTCAATTCCTTGCCCAAGGCATCTTANGAAGAAGCAGAAGAAGAAGAAGAAGAAGAAGAAGAAGAAGAAGAAGAAGAAGAAGAAGAAGAAGAAGAAGAAGAAGAAGAAGAAGAAGAAGAAGAAGAAGAAGAAGAAGAAGAAGAAGAAGAAGAAGAAGAAGAAGAAGAAGAAGAAGAAGAAGAAGAAGAAGAAGAAGAAGAAGAAGAAGAAGAAGAAGAAGAAGAAGGAAAGACATTTCCACTTCCCCCTTTCAATAACAGGACACAGCTAAGATGTATCCCACCCAACATAACCAGATGACTTTTGAGAACAGCCTCCCTCCCTTTTGAAAAGAATTATACAGAATCTGAATGCTCTTATCAAAGATTATGACAATCCCGCCTTCACAACCAGGGAAGCGAATAATTAAAAGTAATTTGGTGGAGCAAAGATGACATTAAACCCCAGTGAGGCGTCAACTCACACTGTCGTGTTTGGGAGGGGGAAAATATTCTCAATCCCTGCCCTCAAAGTGCTATAAAAATGCACACGGCACACAATGCTGCTTGAAGCTTCTTCTTGAGATACCTCCTCACCTAGACAACCAGGTAAGACTCAAAAGAGAGCTTCTAAAAATACAATCTGGGGCCGATTTTATTTTCCCAGAAGCCGGGAGCTGAAGTCAGAGCTGGAATTGTTAATTTAACCTGGTGACCATTAAATTACAAAAGGAGTGGTGCTCTAAAAATTAGTATCATTCTTAATATGTAGGACTATCTTTCTAGAATTTTGCATGTAATGTTAAAATAATCTTTCAGGGGTAGGTTAGGCAGAGAGACCATCATTCACCAATAGCTGCTCTTAGCCTCCGTCAGAAAGGTCCAATCAGCTATGCCCATTCTGATGGTCCTTTTCTTGTCCCCGGTTTTCTTTCCTTGTAGAGTCACCTCCATCTGCTGAAATGGACAGGCGATCCCCCTGCTACGCATCATGTCCGCCTTCCACGGTGGCAATACGGCCACCCCCCTTTGTTCTGACCATCCCAGGTCCTGCCCTCTTCTGCCCCAACCAACCTTTGCAGATTACACAGCGTAACCCCTGCGCACGTGGAGGAATGAGGGTAGGAGGACGAGCGATGCTTTCTGACTTCATCGATGAAGATCTGTCCAATCTAGAATTGGAGCCAAGCTCTAGATTCAGATCGGCTCTGGTGACACTCTACCGATCCAGACTGGCTTTCTCACCTGATGCCTGGCTGTAACTGGTGAAAATTCAAGGAATGTTAGAAAAAAAAAATTGGATTTCTTTCGTAACCTAAAGCAATCCCAAATAAATTCAGCTAAAAGTCTTGGTGGTTAATATTTCTGAAGTCCAGAGTTCCATGTGTCTACTTTATTATTATTAGATTTTCTTTATCCC